ACTATATATAATTCACTTTTTTATTATTGGAATCAGTCATCAATGATTAGTCTTCTTGCCACAGTTTTAGATCCACAACTGAAATCTCTTTTTAATTTGGAAGATGATATTCAAGAAAAAGTGAAAGAAGAATTAAAATCTTAATTATTAAATTTGATTAATATACAAAAGACAACAACTATAATTTCAAATTCTAATACAACAATATCTGATCTTCAACATGGCTACTTATATACTTCAATATTTGAAATAAATACTTCTAATATAACTAATTTAACAAGTGAGTTAGAATTTTATTTAGATCTTGTACTTATACCTATTGCAAATTATAATATAGATCTATTTAAATAGTAGGTTGAATGAAAAATATAATTTTCAAATTTAAATAAATTAGTTAGAAAATATTTATCAATTCCTACATCATCTGTACCTAGTGGATATTTATTTTCTGATGCAGAAAATCAAATTACTGCCAAAAGAACATGTCTTGATTCAAATTAGTTGGCAAAATGATATTTATGAAAAGAAATTTCAAATTTATTTAACTTTATCAATAATAAATAGTATTTTAATAAATTTAATATTTTTAATATAAATATTTCTTTAATAAATATAATAAATAAATATAATAAATAAATTTTTAATAAAATTTTAAATAAATAATAATAAATAGTTTAAAAATAAATTTATTAAAAAAAATTTATTTTTGACTTCTCTCGTGATTTATGTAATAGGAAATGATTTTCTACTAAGGTATTTCTAAGATGGATCAAAAGATCTGGTTCTTGATTACAAGATAATATGTGTTTCATTCCTATAGCATCATCTCCCTGAGATATGATACATCCAATAAGATTTATGGCACTGAATATATAATAGAAAATATGCTAGCACCTACATATAAAAAGGTAAGTATTCCAGTAGAAGTCTAAAAAAGATTATGTAGGTGGTATGCAACATTATATAATTTAAAAAAGAAAATTATAAAGGTATGTGTGGAAGTGATTATGAATTAACATATAAGATTAATAATAGGAATAAAATATTTGAGTTCAAAATCATAGACCGATATGAAAATAATGTAATAATCTTAGCAAAATGGGAGGTCTTTAGAGATGAAACAAGTGATATTTATCTTGGAAAGGTACAATATTACTTTGAACATATACTTACCTTTCCAAACGGATCAAGAACACATCTTTTAGTCTATGTCAAATGGTATAAAAATATGTCTTCCTCTAGTATTCAATTTAAGCATAAATTTATGATACCTGAAATATCAAATACAGAGTTGTGGAGAGAAGAATACTATGAGAAAGGTATAGATTCGATTATTGCAGTACATAGAATATATGATCGAGCCATTAAGATAGATTATCAGGTGGAGAATAAGAATAAGAAAAATCTATGTCAAATGGTATAAAAATATGTCTTCCTCTAGTATTCAATTTAAGCATAAATTTATGATACCCGAAATATCAAATACAGAATTGTGAAGAGAAGAATACTATGAGAAAGGTATAGATTCGATTATTGCAGTGCATAGAATATATGATCGAGCCATTAAGATAGATTATCAGGTGGAGAATAAGAATAAGAAAAATTATGTTTTAATAATTCTATTAAATAGAAGATTTAATGTTTAATTTATTTTATTTAATAATTATAAAGAGATTATCTAATATAATGAGTATATAATAATATTGTGTATCATTCACCTAATATTATTATTTTAGTATTATGCACCTGATATTCAAGACAATATCGGGGACCTGAGATAATAATAAAATTTATCTCACACCTATTACTATTATATCAGGTGTATGATAAAATTTACAAAATTAATTATCGAGTACTTAGTAATAATCAATTATATCAGATATCTGATATATTTATTCTTCTCCGATAGGTACCTGATAGGTATTCAATATTATAAATATATCGGGTTCTGATAAATATCTGATATTTGAATTTTGATCTGTGATTATACTTGTACACAAAATTATTTTGAAACCTCAAAATTGCAATTTCAAAAAAGAAAGTTAAAATAGTTTTTCATAGAAGACAAAATTATTTTACTTAAAATCTGAAATTTTTTAACTATCTAGATTTATTCTTTGATTAAAGATATTAAAGATTGAATATTTTTTTTACTTCTATATATATAATAGATACTACATAAATTTCAAAAAGTCGAAATATCTCAAAAATTCAAAATCAATTTTGAAAACATGTATAGTCTCGATTCTAGACAAGAAAAAAAAGTAATTTCAAGGTTTAAAAGAGATTTATAGAACTAAATGTAGATATACTTTGTTTGTTTTATTATTTTTACTAGTTTTCAAGTAGCTGGGTCAAGTTTTTATTATTTTCAGAGGACCTAGATTATTAAATTAGCTGATAATTATAATTTTACAAATAATAATGGAGAGAATTTACAAGTTGAAGAAATATTAAATTTTACTAAATTTTCAGATGAAAATAATAATAATAATAATATGGTATATATAATAATTGAAGATAATGAAGATTATAATATTAATGAAATAATTAATGTATCTGTAAATATTAATAATTAATGATTTTTAATATGATAATTTCTTTTTTATTTTAATTTTAAATAATATAATAAACTTTAATAAATTTTATAATATAATTCATGTTTTATAATAAAATAAATTTTGACAAATATAACTTAATATAATTGTAGTATTAATATATTGATAATATTTATAATAACCAATATTAATTACAATATCTATAATTAATTTCATCATATAAAAATAATTACAGTAGCCTAAAATAATTATAGCAGCTTAAAATAATTTTGGTATTCTAAAATGATTATGGTAGCCTAAAATAATTTTGGTAGCTTAAAATAATTACAGCAGCCTAAAATAATTATGGCAACCGAAAATAATTACAGTAGTCAAAATTATTTTCAACAATTATATTTTTGGCAAATGCAAAATTAATTAAGGCACTATCTATACTTGAACCTACTTCATCTGTAAATAATGAAGATGATGTAAAAATATAAATTCCTTCATTAAATGAAATTTGAAAACTTGTAAAAAAAAAAATTAAAAAAAAAGAAATTAAAAAACTATTTGAAAACAAAAATAAATCAAATAGTAAAAGCAGTAATGATGATAATAGTGATAAAAATAATAATAAGTTAAAAAAAGAATAATTTTTTCTTTAATTATATAATTTTTTTTCATTTATATAAAATTTTTTTTATTTGTACAAAATTTATTATTTATAATAATAATAATAAATAAGTAATAAATAATAAATAATAAATAATAAATAATAAATAATGATAATTTTTATAAAAATTTATGAAAAATATTGTAAAAATATAAAATTTTTAAATTTTTTAAAAAAAAATAAAAACAAAAATAAGCAAAATGTTTTGAAAATATTTTGAAATATCTAAATTTATGGAAATTTATTACAACAAAAATTTACAAAATTTTTACAATAAAAATTTACAGAAATTTATATTAACATCAAAATTCTGTAAAATTTTTGAAAATTTCAATATTATAACATAAATTTTTGCCTAATAAAATTTCCTGATGTAGTATATTAGAATGTCTCTATAAAATTCCTGATGATGTAAGTTGTTCTAATATTAACTGAATATTTTACAAGCTAGTGATTCATATTAACTAATTTTAACTGATTATAAGAAGGCTTCATGGTTTATGGGAATGGGAAAGATTATAAAGTCATCATTTACAAGCTTTTAGCAAAGCATGAAATTTGCATTGGCACAATTATTAAGTACTTTAATTAGTACTGTAGTGATGTTGACAATACCAATGCCAGAATCATAAATGTAGAAACAACTCGTAGGCATTAGTTAATTAACTATCTCAGTCCTATTTCATGATATCAAATTAATATTCTTCATTTCGACTGAAGAAATTACAAGTACAAGTACCAACTGGAAGTAATGGAGAGGTAACTTTATTTTCTTTATTGATTCAAAATTCTTTAACATTGTAACTTACATTTCATGACTTCAGAATGAACCGTGGCCAAATATTGATATAGAAGTTGGATACTCTGAAAGCATAGACCATGTCTTTGAGAAGGTGAAAAATTACTGGCTAAAGGATTATAGTTGTACGCATGATGTGATAATTGTTAAATTTCTGAGGGCAGAATTCGCATGCAAATAAGTTATATTTTCTAAAAGTTTAAGTGACGTTTTATTGTTTGTGTATTAATCTAAAGAATAAACCCATGTAGGCATGACATTTTTTTCTAGAGACAGAGAACAAGAGGAACAGATCTTTCATATTGAAATCACGTAATGTCAAATATAGAAAAAATTATCTTTTCTATTAATTTTTCAAATTTTTAATATATTGGTTTATTATTATTAGTTTGAGTTTGGTACTCATGATGGAGACGGAAATCTTTTGAATATTTTACAAGGCGTTTGCCTCATCAATATTTATTTGGATTGTCTCAAAATATTCTCTCCGATCCTATTGTATTGGATTTCTTCTTTATTCAAGATGAAATTTTCTATGCATATGATATATAATATAACAGATAGTTTAAGAAACTAATTACATAGCATATTCTTATATATTTAGTATATAAAATTTTATGTAATAGTTTAGTATTGTTGTAAGAATATTAAAAAAGATGTTGGTTTTCCCGAATTTGATTTTCTCTTAAACATCGCTACTGCGTCAGCATTTCTAAAATGCGTACGTGTATACGAAATTTACCAATGACAATTTGTCACGCGCGCGGGACTGAATCATCTAGCTCAAACGCCACAGTTCTAATTATTTTAGAGATAGGGTTTTTATTGGTCCAAGTGATAAAATTTAAATATTTAGAAGTGATGCCGAAACCTGTCTGTGCTACGCTTGACCAGTTGTTTTACTATAAATAAAAAATTCAAGTTCACACAATTTCTTTCCTTATTTCACCATTACTATCAAATAACCGTATAATAGAATTTTCTCATAATGTCCACTACTGCTGATACTACCATTCTTATGCCTGAAGCTAATGGAAATGATTCCAACCTGTAAGTAATAGTAGTAGTAGTAATTTAGTAGTATTTAAATATTTAAACGATATTTCTTCGATATCAATTAATATTCCTTCATTTACATAACATTCCTCGTTAATATATAATAATATTCATCGATAATATTATAATAATATTTCCCGTTTATTCATCATCATGAACAAAGCAATAATTCTCCACATACCCAATATAAGTTATCACGGTCAGAAGTGGTTCGTGGAATAGCAAATCGAATCATATACTCAAGATTTTATTCATGGTTGTATTTAGGAATGGCATTGTTAAGTGCATTGTCTATTATTCTAGTATGTATTTGTCTTTTTTTTTTTTTCCTCATCTTTCTTTTCTTCAGATTTATAAATTTCCATTCTAATATTAACTCATATCATAATATCAATAATTATTATAATTTTTATAATAATAATAATAATAATAATAATAATAATAATAATAATAATAATCATAATAAAATAATATCATAATAATTATAGTCATTAATAGAAGAATGGTAAAAATAAATAAATAAAAAAATTTAATTTTAAAGTAAGCTTTTATTGTTTTCTTTTTTTTAAAAAAAATTTTATTTTTTAATATTTCTATTAGTCAAAGTATAGGATTCATCATTCTTGAAATTATAATTAATACTGTCATGATAGGAGAAGTGACAACTAGATTTTTGGCCTTAAGAAATGTTTGTATATCCAAAACAGTAAAAAACAGTAAAGATAATTATAGAGAATTAGATGAATCTAATATTTTTACATTTCATAATTTTTTAAAAATAGATATTCTGGAAATCCTTATATAATATAGTTGATATAATTCTTGTTATGTTATGTGTTATTACCTTAATTTTAATATTGAAGGGAGGATGTTTACATAAAGGAGAAGAAATATTTGATTTAGTTCTGTTGATTGTAAGAAATTTAGTACAATTTTCAAGGTTGATCGTAATGTTAAGAAAGTAAATATTTATTTATTCATTATTATTTATTATTATTATTTTTTTTATTTTTTACTTTATATTTTTAATTTTATTTTTTTCTTTTATTTTATTTTGATTATTAGAAAGAAGCTAAATAGAAAAGCACGAAATGCTACAGTAGATTTCAGTAATGTTAGAGAATCAAATGATTCATTTTCTGATCCAGGAGAACATTCAATAATTTATGATGAATATGATGAAGACTTTTTATAATCTTTGTAATCTTTTTTATTTTTATTTTCTATAATTATAATGATTATTGGGTGGGGTGTAGGTCAAATTATTTATTATATAAATATATTTAAAATTTTTATTAAAAGAAGAATATTTAATAATTAAATTTCCTGATGCTGATGCACGTGTTGTACGTGATTGGTTGAGTACATCGATTTATCGATTTATAGATTTTAGATAAATTTATTTTTATTAACTTTGCTTCGACAAAATAAATTTACTATAAAATATATACATTCTAATAATATACAAATAATATATAAATAATATATAAATAATATATAAATAATATATAAATAATATATAAATAATATATAAATAATATATACATTATTCAATATGTATCCAACGTTACATTTATTAAAACAACAACGGATGATAAAACCCATTCGTCGTGGTTTATTAGGTGGAATTAAAGCTAAATTTATGTATCCTATACGTGAACAACAACCACCACCACCACCTAAAGAAAAGAAACCAAAAAAAGTTAAAGAGGAACCACCTTTTATGGTTCAACATACATATAAACAAGCGATGAAAGGTTTATATAATAAAGCACATATTCAATTTGGTAATAAAGTATCAGAATCCGGTAATAAATCTCGACGTACTTGGAAACCAAATGTACATTATGTAAAATTATATTCCGAAGCATTAGATAAACGAATTGAAATAAAATGTACAGCAGAAGTATTAAAACTTATTGATCGAAAAGGAGGATTAGATAAATACTTAATAGCCATGAGGGATAAAGATTTAGGTGAAAAAATGTATTATTTAAAGTATACCATTAAAGCAAGAAAAGATATTTTGGAAGGAAGAGATCCTACTGATAATCCAATTAAATCAATCACTGGTGGTACTAATAATAAAAGGTTGCAAGAAGGAAGTAATAGAAATTTACTGTTGGAAAGTGAAAATGGTGGGAGTGGTGAAAATGGAAATAATTATTATAATGGTAAATTTATATCAGAATTTGGAAGTGGAAATAGGAATCATAATGGAAATAAAATTAATGGAAATAGAAATAAAATTAGTGGAAATGGAGATAATAATGGAAGGTTAATGTTGGAAAGTGGAAATAGAAATAGTAATGATTATGGTAGAAAAGAAAATAAAATTAATGAAAATGAAAATAAAATTAATGAAAATGGAAATAAAGGAAATGTAAATAATAATGGAAAGTTAATATTGGAAAATGGAAATAGAAATGGTAATGGTAATGGAAAATTAATGTCAGAAGGTAGAAATGTAAATAAATATCATAATGAAAATAGAGATCATAATGGAAATAAAGGAAATGGAAGTGAAAATAGAAATGGAAATAAAATTAATGAAAATGGAAATAAAGGAAATGGAGATAATAATAGAAACTTAATGTTGGAAAATGGAAATAGAAATGGTAATGGTAATGGAAAATTAATGTCAGAAGGTAGAAATGTAAATAAAAATAATGGAAATGAAAATAAACATTAAGTTAATTAATTAAATTTAATTATGTGATTATTTATTATTTTATTAATATTATTTTGAAAAATCTATTAAAAAAAAAAGAGAAGAAAATTAGAACTATGTAATTAATCTCTCTATGTATATAAAAATATTTTATCCCCACACATTAACCAAAATAAAAATAAACAAATAAATATACATATACAGTATTTTATATATATTACAAAAATACTAATAAAAATAATAATTATTGTAATTAAAAAGAAATACTATACTACAGAAAATAATAATTATTGTAATTAAAAGAAATATATTATTCTTTAAAAAGGAAAATATAAGTATTATAAATAATATAATAAAGAACATAATAATAAAGAATATTATTATGAAAGATATAGAAATCTATAATTATATATCCAAAAGTAAATTTTCAACTAAACCATCAGAACCAATGTTTACAACATCAACATTATAAGGATTAGATTCAAAGTTGGCAAAATTTCTATTAATATATAAATATATAAATTACACATATAATATAAAATATAATATAAATGAATAACACATCACATATAACATAAATAAATAACATAAAAAATATATATATAATAATATATATATATATAAAGATAGAATTAAAACTTACTCCGTAGTGAAATCATCATCTAACATATTTTTTGGTGGTGGTTGCCTTTGACCAGGAAATCGATTACGATTTAATACAGCCGAAGGAATCAAAGCTCTAGATTTAGAATGATGAATAAAAGTTTGGGGAGATTTATGATATATGGAAGCCAAACTAGAAATATGTAAAAGAAGTTCTTCCAATAAAACAGGTTCCATATTATCACTTTCTGTCGAGATACGTGGTTTATCTGATAAAACCACTGCCTAAATAATGAATAATGAATAATGAATAATGAATGAATAATGAATGAATTCAAATAATCAATAAATAAATAAAAATAATTTACTTTGGCAGCAACAGGATCAGTAGATAATAATCTCCAATAAATATAACCTCTATCACGTAAATCGGGATTATCAACATCTTCAGTTGCCCATTTTAAAACTTTAGGTACAAGGGCTTGACCAGCGGTAGGTCTTTTTATAAATAATTTTACGGTTGCTGTTAATAAAGATAATTGAACTTCAACCGGTTCTTCTAAAAATGTAAATAAAAAATCATCTAATAATTCATCCGAATTTTCAATACGATCAGAATATTGTCCAATTATCCATATCATCGCAGATTTAGCTTCGGGTTCATCTAAATTATCTAAATTTTCACATAAAGTTCCAATTATACTTTCATATTGATTTGGATATTTTCGAAATATATCCTAAAAAATTATATTTAAATTATATTTAAATTAAATTAAATTAAATTAATAAAATTAAATTTATATTATTTAAAATTAAATTAAATTAAATTATTAAAATTAAATTTATATTATTAAAATTAAATTAAATTAAAAATTATATTATATTATATATTTACCTTTATTACAACAATAGCTTCTTGTACTACATAATTAACTTTTGTCTGTATAAGATCCAATAATGCTGCTATGCAACGATCAGCTGTAGATTCTATTTTAACTGCCAATCGGCCAATAGAACGAACAGCCTTTCTTACAAAATCAACATCTACTTCTGTAGCATATCTATTATATATAATGTATATAATGTTTTATTTCACTTGAAAATAATAATAATAATAATAATAATAATAATAATAATAATAACAATAATAATAATAATTACTCTTTCAATTCCGATAATACTTGATCAACATTATTCGCATTAGCTAAACGAAACATAATTTCAAGTTTAGCCAATTTAACGTAAATTGGATCATTATATTTACAAAAGAAAACTTTAATATCATTTCTTAATATATCAGGTCTTCGTTGGATAATTAAAAGAATGTTACGAAGAGCTACATATTGAACTTCTGGTCCACTAGAAAGAAGGGTAACTAAATAATGAATAAATGATGAATGAATAATAATGATGATGATGATGATGATTAATAAATTAAATTAAATAAATCAAAAAATACCCAATGGAGGAGATAATTTTCTACACAAATTTGTTATATCTTCTTCTTTGGTCATATAATTTATAAAATACATTATCAATTTTACAGCAGTAAGAACAACACTTGAATTAGCATGTTGTAATCTTGGTGAGATCCGTTCACATAAAGTTTCTGCATCTCCAATTTCTTGTGGTACAAATGACATTAAAGCTTCTAATATATATGTTTGACCCCACCTAAATAATTATAAATAAATTATGAATAAATTATTGTTGGATTATTATTTGATAATTATTTTTAAATAATATTTAAACATCATTTTAAATATATAAATATATAAATAATTGATTAATTACATACTCTGAACATTCATTTAAAGCTGTAACTAATTTAATAGAAATTGACAAATTTAATTTTAATAATATATTATCTGATCTTTCTGATATTTCTGTCAATGCCGCAACTGCATTAGCTACAACCTATCAAATATTAACAATTAACAATTATATTAGTAATAATAATAATAATAATAATAATAAATTAGATTTAACAAATAGAAAGAATGCAAAAGAGAATACACACATATAAACGAACATACCGTGGGATTTCCATCAATTAATAAATTTCTTAATAAATCTATAAATCCTTCACTTTCAACTAATACTTTATCATGCATATATAATTTTGCTACAGCGATGGCTGCTGTTTTACGAACGTATGGATCTCTATCACGTAAACAATGACGTAAAGGATCAACTAACGCGTCAACTATTTTATCAACATTAATATAACTCATGGTTCTTATGGCTAATGCTCGTATTAAAGGATTATGATCTTCTGCATCCTGTTGTATAATTTTTTAATAATTAATACAGTTATCACGGATAATATATATATATATATATATATATATATATCCCAGATGAAGTTAATATTTTACCTTTATAAATGTTGGTATCGCCATTTCTGCTATATCTGGTTTTGTTCTCGAATAATTAATTAAATAAAGGTATACCATCTTTTTAATTTCTAAAACTGGGATACGCATACAATTGATTACATCCGGAAATAATGATGACATATCATTTCCCATCGTCATATTGGCTACAATCTTTTTAAGTACTATTTTCTTTTTACTATGTTGTTTGTCTTTTTTTTCTGAATTTAATTCGGTTCGAAGTTCTTGGATCTTTCCTAAGGTAATTATTATGGAATTATTATTATTATTTGAAGAATTATTTGGGGAATTATTTCTATTATTAGATCAATATTATTACTATTATTATTATTTCATTATCATTATTGTTATTATTATTGTTATTATTGTTATTATTATTGTTATTATTATTATTATTATTAGGAGTATCAGAAATCTTTTAAAGCATCCTTGAAAGCAAATTATTAAAGTATTATTAAATATCTAAAAGTTTATTAAATGACCAACCTCTTTGGAAATATTTAGCATCAGACATTTTTTCAAAAGTTCAATTAAATTAATTCAATTTTTTTGTATCAATCTTTTTATTTTTATTTTTTCCGAAAAGTTTTAAATTTTTACTGGTAATCGCTAAATATTTTTAACAGTTTTAAAAGTTTAACGTAAATATTTTTAAAGTGTTACATTACATTAAGTGTTACATTACACAAATATTATCATATTTTATCATTGTTAAAAATTTTTTGCCATCTTTTCGCTCATTAGATTAACTTAAATTAATTTATATTAACTTAAAATGTGTATAATAAATATAACAAAAATAATAAAAATGTGTAGTGAAAATATATATATGAAATCTTCATATATGACTTATCATTCAATGGCGGCGAGTCACCGTTCTTTTTTATGTGAACTTCCAAAAGATGAAAATAATCAAGATTCAAAAAATCTCTCTTTAGAACATGTCACTTCAAATGAACTTAAACCAATTCTACGAGCTGTTAAATCCAATAACATGACCAAAGTTTGGAAATTTTATAGAACTTTGGTGGAAGAAAATAAATTACATCTCTTAACTCCAATTCACCATTCTTTAATATTAAAAGTTTTTGATATTAAGAAAGAACCATTCAATATTAATAATGTTAAAATGATTAAATCCACTTTACTTTATATTATTGGTCAAATGAAATTATTAGGACATCAACCAAATGTGATGGATTATACACATTTATTAAATGTATTTAGTAGAGTGAAGGAAGCAAGACTTTGTGAAAAATTTTGGATTGAATCAACTGGAAAACAAGGAATTAAACCATCCATCTATATGTTTAATTCTTATTTGGCTTCCTGTTTACAAAAGGATGAAAGATTTTTAGGAAAAGCAAGTTTAATTATAAAAACATTAATTGAAAGTGAATTAACTCCAAATTTAACAACTTATTCTTTATTAATAAGATTACATTGTTGTGCAAGAGATTATGAAGCAGCACAAGAAATACTTGATCAACAATTTTCTATAAATACTATTTCTCAATTATCTTCACAATTATCTCAATTAACTAAAGATTCCAAAGATTCCAAAGATTCTAAAGATTCAAATGATTCTTCACAATCATCTAAAGATTCCAAAGATTTCAAAAATTTCAAAAATTTCAAAAATTCCATAGATCATTTAAAAGATTCAAACCAGGAATATTTACATTGGGAATTAAGATTACATAAATGGGCTATGGTTAGAGCATTAAGATCAATGATAGGATTATATGGATATTCAGGAAAATTTTCAGAAATGGAAAATTGTTTTAAAATGTTAACAAATTATACCAAACCGGATATTAAATTATTTAATTCAATGATATTACATTCATGTGAAAATTCAAATATTGAAAAAGCTCAACAATATTTAGAAGAAATGTTTACAATTTATGAGATTAAACCTGATCCTTTAATACTTCGTCCCATAATAAAATTATTATGTATTCAAGGTAAAACTAGATTATCATGTGAAATGTTGGTGAAGATGAAATCTAAATTTAACATCAATCCTTCGGATTATAGTTTAGCGACTATTTTTAAAACGATGATTAAAAAAAAAAGATTCGATGATGCTAATGAATTTGTTAAAGAATGGAAAATTCCCGAGAGTTGGATTAATAAATTTAATAATAAAAAAAATATTAAAAATAAAGATGATAATAATATTAAAAAATAAAATTTGATTGTTTAAATCATCTGAATCACACAAAACGTAATGATAATGATAAACGTAACACATAATAAACGTGGATTAAATACAAATATACAACAAAATAATACAAAATAATACAAAATAATACAAAATAATACAAAATAATACAAAATAATACAAAATAATACAGGTAATTGCACCTTCTTTTTAGGGATTCGCCAACTATGTTAAACGTGATACAAGTTTCATCATCGACACATTAAATTACATGCTGGTTGGTAATTCTGGTAATTGGTAATTTTGATTTCTTTGATTTCACGATAGGTCATCTGTCTGTTTCGGTTTTTGATGCATGTGCCACGATAAACTTGAATCAGTCACGAGTGTTGGTTTGTGCTTGATGTTTGATGTGACTGGTTCTTTTTTTTCCTTTAGAATTTTGTACTTTGTTCTTGAATGAAAAATGATATTTTTTGATTTGATCCCTGTTTATCTTTATGCTTTATTTTTTATTCTCTTCTTTATGATTTATTTACTTTATAATTTATTTATAATTTATTTTTATGTTTCATTTGATTTTTAAATGCAAGATAATACTTAAATAATACATCTTGATTATCTAAATATAAATAATAAATAATAAATAAATCTGATATGATAAAATAATAAATGCAAAGTAAAAAGGTCAAATGATCATATTTAGTAAGATCACAAAAATTATCTTATCTTATTTCCTTTCTTCTCTCTTCTTTATAATACAGTGTAATAAATATTATTGTTATCTCTCGATAACATTTAGATTTTGATAAAAAGGTCAATAAAATGAAGTACAAATAAAGTATAAAAAAATGTAAAAATAAAAAATGTCTTCCTGAGAATAATAATATTAAGGAAAAGATGTGCAAATTGAATTCTTTGTTTCTTTTTTTTTTTTAAAAAAAAACAAAAACAAAAACAAACATACGATTTCTATTCTTTATATTTTATAGTATGATTTTAATTATATATAAATAGATAAATTAATAAAAAGAAAAAGATAACTTCTTAGATCGGACAATTAATTAAAAAAAAAAAAAGTGTTAATCTATACTTTGAATAGTATCAAAAAAAAGTTGCCTGCATAATGTAAATTTATGTAATTCATCTAATATAGTTTATCTTTTCCCCAAAGATTTATAATATTTATATTTTTTTTAAAAAAAAAGTTATCTAATCTAAAATCAAAAAACGATATTATTTTTCGATAAGCAATAAATGTTACTAATTTTGTTCTAGCAAAATCTAACTCATTAATTTAATCATTTTTATTAATTATTTTTAATTTGTTATTATTAATTAATAAATGAAAATTTAGAGCGAAAAAAAATAAGAATTATTGATTTTGTTTTATAGTCACATGTTTCATGAACCTATAAAAAATAATTTCAATTTCTTGTTTTGCTGTAATTTTTTTTTTTTTTTTTTTTTGTTGTTACGGTACACTAGTACAAAATAGTACAACTTGTAGATGCTTTTTTTTAAGCCACCTGACTTTTAATTTTTTTTTCTTACGTGTAACATCCCCCGTACCTCAGCCGTTTATTTTGTTTGTTATATAAAGACCTCTGATTGATAATATTTTCTTTCAACTCTCCCCGGTGCAATAAATAAATCTTTTATATATTTGAATAAAAAAAGATTTTATTACTTTATTATTATTATTTTTATTATTATTTTTTCGAGAATACATTATAAAAACTTATTTTACATTCAACTCACTCCATTATTTCATTTATTAAAAAGATCTAATAAATAAATCTTCGATAATAATAATAATAATAATTAATAATATGCCTTCACGTCTTATCTATTTCCCTATACTTTTATTCTTTTCCCCATTGATTTTCATGGTATTGGCTTCTTTCACTTCATTGGCGATATTTACTTCCTTCTTAGCAATAATTGTTATAACGATTCGTCTTGGTTTCTTAGTAGTTGAATTTTCTGGTGGAGTCGCATTAGATTTTGCTAGTTGGAGTTTAAAGAAATTTATTGATATCGGTCACCACAATATTACTAAAATCAATAATAACAACAACAACAACAACAATAACAATACCAAAAATAATAATGTCAAGAACAACAACAATAATAACAAAAACAACAATAATAATAATATCAAAAACAATTATAACAAGATAAATAATTTCGACAAGAGTAATTATTATTACAAAGATCCATCATTTAATTTATCACCTTTTGAAAAGAAAATACTTAATAATAATAATAATAATAATAATAATAATAATAATAATAATAATAATAATAATAATAATAAGAATAATAAGAACAATAATATTAAAAAACTTTCTTCAAAACTTACAAAACCAACAATAAATTTAGATAATTTTGAAGATAGATTTCTTCCAAATAATTTTGTTAGTAATGATGATTATTTCATGATGGCAACAACGGGTAAAAGACCAATTACAAAAAAAGCGAAAAGTTTTCGTTATGTATAGTTTTTTTTTTTCTTTAATTTTTATTAATTCTCCTTTGGAAATTCCTTACGTTTACATTTTTTTCTTTTGTAAAATATTTTGCATGCTTTTTTTTTTCTCTTTATTTTTCATATATACAATCAATACAATAAATGTTGCTAAGTTCATTGTTTAATATAGAAATAAATAAATAATTCAAATAAAGAATAGAAAGAAAAAAAATTTTTTTTTTTCTCTCATCATTATCATAATAAATATTTATTATTCTGTGAAACAAATTTTAAAGTATTCTTTATTTTTATGGAAAGTAATAATAATAATAATAATAATGAAAGACGGGTAAATTAAATATTATTAATTGTATAAAATTATTTCGGAAAGAAAGTTTAACCAAAGAAGAAAGAAGAAAAGGATAAATTTCGGGTAATTAGGAAAGGATTTAGGATAATTTAGGAGAATGGACGAATCTGGTAAATGATGGAAAATGATGGAAAATGAACGAAAATGATGGATTAATGAAAAAATGATGGATGAATGAAATAATGATGGAATGATGATGAAAAAAAAAAGAGGATCTTTACTAAAAATAAAATTATTGAAAAAGAATTTAACTTTATGAAGCATATGACATTTGTATTTGCAGTATTGTATTTGTTTAATATATTTTTTTGTACAATAATTGATAAATTGGGAATATTTTGTCATTTGTATATTTGTATCATATTATTACATAATAAAATTACTTATCTGCATAATATGCGTTAATTTAAAGCATGGTAGTAATTTTATTACATTGTGTTACTTGTTCTAATATTACTACAATCCAAAAAGAGTCTAGTTTTTTTTCACTCCCGAAAAAAGGGGATTAAAAAGATTTTCCCTTTCTTCTTAAAAGTTTACAAGTCAAAAATTAACATTTGAAAAATAATAATAATAATAATAAATAATAAATAATTTAATTGATTGATGTATTTAATATTTAATATATTATTTAATATGTATTATTCAATATATTATTTATCAATATATTATATTAAAATAAATAGTTAACTTAATAAATTAAAACGTTATTGATTACATCATCATTTAAAAAATTAAAATTTTCTCAAAAGTATCATCATGATTAAGAGGCTTCACTAAAGGCTTCATCCTACTAAATACAATATAAATTTCAAAGAGTGATTATCCCTTGAATTGCAAAAGGAACATCCAATTCTCCCGAGATCGTATGACATTTACGTGTCAAACTATTTTTGTTTCGTTTCACTCGTCTGATATTTTGTGCTCGAATGTCACATGTGTTCTTCGATAAATGGCATATCACATGAATGGTGTACAGCAGATTTGTAATTAACACAAAATAAGTTACATTGTAAGCTGGGTTTGACTTGTAGTTCAAGCCAATATGACTTTGAGACACTGTACATTACTCATGTGATTTGCTCTTTTTACTTCAATTTACGCGACGAGGAAATAATGTACCTAATAACATTAGAAAACCTTCATTTCGGATTTCGCCATGGTAGTAAAATTGAAGATAAAGTATTATAGCAATGAGATAAAACATACAATTTGATCATGAGTCTTCGACTCCGAATGTGATAACATTATTTTTATCATTAATACAATTATTTTTATATGCATCTATCCATAATTTTTCTGATACAAAACCAAAATGTGATTCTTATAGAAATAAATATTACTACTTCTACTTTTTATTTATTATTATTTTTTTTATACTATTCTTCATATTTTGTATGAAATAATTGACCCAACATGATAGCTATCTATTGCTTTACAGCTCAAACCGTATGTACTTTATGATCATGGGGAGTGAGATTCCATCATGAATTTGCCAACTGATTTCCATAAACAAAATTATCATTATCTATATAATAGATATACCACAAATAATTTAAATAGTATAAATAAAAGCTACATTTATTTTAAATAATTTCAATATTTCATTTGTATCCTATATTTTATCGTTAATTTTTATCATCGACATTTAATCACCTAAATTGCTAATTCAATTGGTTAAAACTAAATTTGCCGTTGAAAATATTATCATCTGACTAAAATCTTGATTACGTCATGTTTTTACTTTATAATCATCAAGTATTATCAAAGTGAAGAAGGTCCAGGTAAAAGCTTTAAAGGAATCTAAAATCATGTCTGGATTAGGGATTAGAACCGGATTTATATAATCCAGTTTCACCCGGATACCGTGGGTGACTCGGTTTAAACTTTTGAAGCCGAGTCATCCGTGTAATATTTTTTATTTTTAGAAGTTTTTGTAATTCGCTCGCGATTTGCGAAACATGGAGCAATTTGCTACTAATATATTCCTATGATAGATAAAATGGCCTTATTCCTAGCTACAAAATAGTATGTGTTTCATCCCTATAGCATCAATATTTGCGGAGTTATTCCAGTTTAAAGAAAAACGTCCGTGAAAAATCATGACAAAAATTTTCGCAGAAAATTTCATAACGTTAAATTCACGATTTTTTCACAGACGTTTTTCTTTAAACTGAAATAACTCCGCAAATATTGGTGTTACAGTGATGAAACACATACCATTTTGTAGCCAACAACAAGACTGTTCTACCTACCATATAAATATCTTAGTAAAAAATCATTCCATGCTTCGCAAATCGCGAGCGAAGTTAAAAAAAAAAAAATAAAAAAACGCACAAAAACTTTTGTAAATTTTCATAAATAATGAAATTTGTCTCTTAAAATTTGTTGATACATTATGGTTAAATTTTATTTTATTTTATCTAGTTTGAAATTTAAATATTAGAATAATTAATCCGGATTGAATAAAACCAGATGAAATCGGATAAAAATAGATAATGACAATTAAACCTATTTCACCCGGTTTAAAGTATAAAAAAATTTTAAGAAATCATCTGTTTTCGCCTGGATATCCGGTTCCAATCCCTAGTCTGGATTTGCAACAAACTAGCTGGACTCATAAAAGTGACAATTTCTTCATATGAGGCAGACATTTTTATAACACCACTTCTTTTCATAAAAGTTGCATGGTATCATCGAACATACCTCTTCTGTAAGACCCGCTATTTCTTATCTTCACATGACTCCGTACCTTCATTTCAATGATTATTTTTTGGACCAAGTTGTTCACGTTCTTCAAGAAAGTCAAACATAATTCCCTCGTTAGTCTTTAAGGTCGAAATAAAACTGCCTCACCAGAAAGGAGTTAACAAGACTTTTTGTTGAAAACTGTGGTCAACACAACAAAGTATCCAGTGATCGGTAAGGAGATATTTGCTTGTTAATGTGTAGGTATTATCATCACGCAAAGATAGGCTTGAATCTTTTAGTGTTTGATGAATTAGTGTTATCCGGAGGCATTTATATAAAAGAACTTAAATAATATTCACCTTTAATATCTTCAAACGTCAAAGGAAAAATATTTTACAGTAGTTCTTTATCGAGTTTTAAAGCTTGTTTCTGATGATTGATTCGTTCCTCATAAATGGATTCCTTCTATCTTTCATTTTTGATAAATCTTTAACTATATCAGCTAACGCGAGAAAATCTTTTCGATAAGAGGTGTATGATCCACCCATTGCATCATCATGGTGTGACTATATGTTGACATGCGGGTTATTATTAGAATTGTTTGTTTTTAGTTCAATTACATAATAAAATTGTAGATTATGACGTTATAATGTCTTTTATTATGAAATCATTGTTACCAATGTAAGATTTTCAAGATTTTCTCATTAGAAAAAGTGATATTTTCTCATGTAAAAAAAATGCCGCGAGTTCAGACTCACATGATGTTCAAAGAATCGTTGGTAAAGGAAAAGGTCAACCATTACCAAGTAAAGTAGAACTTAATCCCAAAGATGGTTCATCAGAATCTATTACGAAACCGAATATTTCAAATGTTGAAAAGGCAACAGTATCTCGTACTCCCGAAACTCATTCCGATTTTATAGATGAGATATCTGATGCTTATTTGAGATATATTCAAAGAAGATTATGATCAACAATCAACATTGGAAAAACCTGAACCAGAAAAAAAAAAAAGAGGTTATAAAATAAATCGAGGTACTCAACCAGGAACAGATGATAAAGTAATTGAAAATGTAGAAAATCTAGATTCTCCAACCATCAATAAAGAAGTTGAAGAAGAAAGAATATTTCCTGCCGAAACTGAAACCCAGAAACAAGGTCATCAAGAAGGAGCAAAAGTTAATTTAGCAGAAGATTCTTTACCAGGTTGGACATCTAAAGAAATGGTTTATCAAATTGCAAGGGAAAATGTATTAGGTGATAGAATTACTGCACTAAAGGTCAAACTAGTTATGAGATTAGACACGCTAAATAGTTATTTAAAAAAAATAAAGTATACTATATTATATCATATATATCCCTTTAATTTACCACGTGATTCGCAAAAAATATTCATCACACAATATTCATCACGCAATATTCATCACGCTTCTAGTATACACCTAATTCATTTTATTAAATATCTGTTTTAATCCAATATATTTATTTATATTTATTTAATTTATTCTATTATTATAATTTATTTTATAATTAATTTTATAATATCATTCTTAAAAATAAGATATAATAATAATAATATTGGTTAAATTAAAAATATCGAATGTGCATGATACAGTATGTAAGGAATCATTTCTCAATGCATTCATTTAGACAAAAAGTACAAAGGTCCGAAATTTATTTTTTAAATTTTTTACGCGCGAGAATGCAGGTTTTTATATGCGCGTGGTTAGTCACATTGTACGTTATATATTTCAAAATATGGGTATTTTCAATTTTTATTTCGGACGATTATTAATCGGAAGCTTAAAAGTTATAATGATTGAAATAATCTTATTGTTTCTATTATCACAAAAAAAAGTTTGTGATTTGTAATTATAATCATTATAATCATTACAATTATTATTATTATTGATTATGATTGATTATTATGATGATACAATTCATATAATGATTAAAAAAAAAAACAATATTACAAAAATTGACAATTTACAAACAAACATTACATATTATTTACATATTTTATATATCAAGACGCGTGTTACATCTTTTGAAAATATTCTTGATTAAAACATTATACTTTTATATACTTTTAAGTTTTGAAAGTTGTATTCATTCAATTTTATCCAATTTCAATTAATGTCTATCTATCACGAGTCAATCATCTATCGTCTATCACGATCATTTCATTGTTTATTTTGATATCAATAAAATTATTCTGATTCTATAAATTATTCTGTAAATTATATATAAATAAATACTTTAAAAAAATAAACTATAATAATTACTTTATATGAATATAAGAAATCAAAACAATGATTTTTTTACTTTTCTTATATTCCAATTTAAGGTAATAATTATGACGATAATTCAATTATCTTCCCAAAAGAAGAATAATAAAGTGATTATGCCTAAAATGAAAAAGAAAAATAATTGATTAAAAAAGTCATTTTATTGTAAATATATTTGGATTCCATTTTTTTTTATTATTTTCTTATTTTCCAATTTTATCACCTTCACAAAAAAAAAGATATATATTTAACTGAAACAATAAATTATATAATTTTATCACTAAAACACACGATTATCACAGATGTGTATTCGTTTTTTACCCGAGTTGGGGCTGAGTTAAATATTGAACAGAAAAAACGACAACAATAACCAACTCTATCTTAACTTTAAAAAATAGTCCGATATACTTTAAGTAAATCGAAACTTAAAGATTTATGCCTTTTACAATTTGATTTTATTGATATAATGAACACATAATTGGTGGTGAATTGCTGATTGACTTGAAAAACTCTCCGCTTAAAACCGCGTTTTTCTCCTGGTAGTACATTTGATCAAAATAATTAAAATTTATTAAAAATGAATATCTCAATAATTCGTTCTATATTTATTTTATTTAATTTTTGATCTTTAAGAAACCTTTTTTTTTTTTTATTATTATTATTAATTTTACATCAATAATTTTATTAAGTTAATTATGCATGCATAGTTATAAGATATATTTTCCAAATGGTTCACATGGACATAAACTTTAATTTACTCTTATCCTATTAATATTTTCGTTCTTAACAATTTGTAATTGTTAATATTTAAAAAATTTGCCCACGCTAATTAAATCCAACAAATGTAAAAAAAAAAATTTAACATTGCCGATATTAACCATAAAGAATCTTTTGCACGAACATAAAAGATCCAGGATTTTGGTATAAACAATAATTGTTATTATTTTTCTTTGCTAAATTATAAAGTAACACAAAATACACCAAAACAAAGATAATTCTGTTTATCCATTCTTTATTTGTATCATCCAATAAAATTCTACACCAAATGTATAATGAAATGAACAAAATAAACAATGAAGCATGAATGCTATTATATATCCATAATTTCGTTAATGGCGTATTATGACTTACATAAACTTTTAAATAAGTTATGGATGTTATGAATTCATTGAAAATTCTAGTTTTATTTTTTTTTTAGGATTTTTTTTTGTCTTCAGATAATCATATCATTATTCTTCCCCACACTTGAACACGAAATTTACCAACTTCAGCCCACAAGTAATAGATTTCGTAACACTCTTCTCTTGAATCTATCACATTTGTACACATTATTTCCTCTTCCCTCTTGATTTATAACATTTTTTTTTTCATCATCTTTACCAAAATATAGCTACTAAAAAATAATTTGATTTTAACTAGACAAATTTCTACTTTTGGCATTTATTAAAATTTTTTTTTCTAATCTAGCATTAAATTAATAGTATCCTTATTTTCCTAGATAAGTATAATTAGTATTGTTTTATATTGTTGTGATGGCGTTAAAAACTAGTGTATTACTTTTTCCGCATGCAATATATCTGTTTTTCATGTGATCGTTTTGATTACATATTTGTCAAAAGGGTTAAATTTTTTTATTTCAAAAAAAAAAAAGGTAATTATTTTCATTTAATACAGTATAAGTGCTCTCTTCTAAATAGAAGTAATATACATCTCTTAAAAATAATAATAGTTTACTTGTATACAATAAAAATTACATTTATGCCATTATCAGCTGGCAAACAGATTTAATCATAATTTAATGGTTGAAAATTTAAATTAATTAGGAATTTTAAAATTCAAAAACAAAACTTTTATTTTTATAACTTCTGCAGGAATTACTATTAAGCATTATATAACTTATCTTTTAAAGAAGACTAAGATTGGTTTTTGATTAAATTACATTTTTAAAACTTTGAGAATTATGAAAAGTCATCTTGTAATCCTACCTTTAAGAATTATAATTTGTTTTCTTGATTAACTATATCTTTTGGACTTAAAAATTGTAATTAAAAAAAATAATAAAAACATACTCGATTTTTTCAAATGAAATATTCTTAAGCTTTGTTTTTTAATCGATTAACCACTATATTTGTTATTTAATTTTTCATTGGACATTTTCATTATAGAGTGGTCTTTATTAATTACAAGTTTCTTTGTCCCTTGAATTATTTTTTTAATACATAATTCTTCTTCTCAATGTTGCATTTATTTTTTTCATTAGATATAAAAAAAATTATTAAATTAATGTCATAAAATAAAGATAAAAAATCTTGAAGTTGTCACTAACAATTGGATCTGCCGAAATTTTTGATCTAAAAAAAACTTCAATATTATATACACCCTTGAAAGCTTTATATTGTCACTGTTGTATTTAATATTGAAAAGTAAAGACATAAAACCCAGAATCGCACATTAAAATCCATAATTATAGCATATGGAAAAAGATGATTGTGCTTCTTCAAAATTTAAAATACTCTTCGATGAGAGATCAATCCTTAAACTTTTCATGCTTTCTTACAGGAATATTAAGAATGGAATGTGTGCAATTACTGGTGTTATTATGTTTGTAGATTACTCAAATCAAACAATAAGTCACTTCTTAATCTCTTTTATTATAAATACATAATTCGCTTTGTTCATTTAACATTTAATTCGATTTGACAAAATAGCATTAAAAAAAAAATCCTTATAAAGAGGTAAATGTAAATGACAATATGATGTTTCTCTAAACATATCTTCAAGAGGACGACCTTGAATAGTCTCAATCAAAATTGATGCATAGAATATATTTTTCGCTACAACAATTTAAATATCTAACAGCATACAAGATATCATGAACTGAATTTTTTATTGTCTCTTCATATTGTGCAAACGGTTTAACTCATCAATGCCAAGTTAATTTTTATTACCAACATCCTTAAGAATCACCTGAAGTGCTTCCCAATTGTAATGTGATTCTATAAGAATTTTCATTGCGTATTTTTTTTTTTAAAAAAAACTTCATAGTCACAAGATTAATTAGAAATAAAGTGTTCATAAAGTTATTCTCAATTCAACTGATGTTTCACCTATAAATACATCTTTTTCTAGTGGTTTATTGTCATCTATATATTGTTGAGTTTGGTTATGTAGTAAAGTTGAAAGTTCTTGATGAAATTTACTTTTTTCCTATGCTTGATCTATTAACCAAGATAGGAATAGGATGAATGTTTTGGTCACCTTCATTATGTTTTTTTAAATCTTTGATCGATTCCTTTGTATATTGGTTCACTTTTTAATAATATTTCCAATGTTTGATCGCGTCCTTGAAAAGGAAATTTAGTACCATTGGAAAATATCGACTAATAAAATATACATTTGGATGGGCTATTTCAAAGGTTTTATTCAATTATAAATAGAGAGAAAAGCAGTGAAGTTTGGTATATTTTAATACTGTCATGATACTTAACATTCTTTTCACTTTTAATTTTTTTCGATTAATTATAATTTTTTTTTGCTGGTTCGCCATATTTCAAGCTTTTCTTAACTTAATAGGAGGAAATATTTGCCCACGACCAAGTTATTTCTGATTAGAATAACTATCTTAAAAAATCAAATGGATTAAATTTGCTAAAGTCACATGTAATAACTAAAAAATTACTTTTTATTGCCGCCAGGTAAAAATGAAAATACAAAGGAAATGTAACAAATATAATTCCATACTTCTAACCATGAATATATCTATCGTATTTTCAATCACTAGCTTTATTATAAAGTTTCACTTTTTTTTTTTTGTTCTAATATTCCTCTAAATTCACAAATATGTATTATAATTTTTATCAATTTAGGCAGCATTAATTTTGGTATCAATCTTTGCATAAAAGTACCACGTGTTGATTATTAAACAAACGAAAGCAAATAAACTCTTTAACACAAAATTCTACTACTGAAGTACTAACAATACTAAATAATATTCGAAGAACAATTCTACTTCATTATTTGATATTAGAATATTATTTTACAGTATATGACTGACAAAATAACAAGGTATTGCTCTCATCAAGCTTTTAAAATTTTTAATTACGCGTATATTCATATAATTGAAAAATTATCCATGCAAAATTTTTTTTTATATAATTGTAACAACCTAAAATTCTGCAATGTTT